GTCTTTGTTGCGTAGGGAAGCAGGGCCAATGCACCAGAGTTTATCCTTCTTTACCTTTTTGTATTCTTTAACATATGCTGGCTCCAATTCCTCAAAAGTATTCATGATCATCCCATATGTCTCCGTGTCAGCTGCTGCCATTTCGTCACCAATATCTTTCAGTTTTGCTGTCACTGTCCCGTCTGGAAGCTGAGCTTTTGTCATCTCAATTCGATCAGGCAGGTCGGGAAGAACAAGGTACTCCGAATCAGACGTTACACTCTCAAGCACGTTGGATACGCGCAAATTGTGAGCGCACAAGAAGCTGAAGCAGCCTGTTCCACCAAAAGATATCCTTGGAATGTGATGCTTGCTAGCAATGCTATATGTCCATGGAAAAGTCACGTCTGAGATTATGCAATTTGGCTTTGGAGTGAGCTCTTCAAATAATTTCTCTACTGGCTTGTGAAGCAAGGCAGTCGCAGCAAAGAAATTGAAGACCAATTCTGGTGAAGGTAGCATGTCAAAGTTTTCGCAGCCTTCGGGCAATCCTGCTTCTTCAGCTGGAAATTTCACTTGGATTACGCGGATTTGGAGCCCAGATTCTATGTCTCGAGTAAGAACTGCTTGAAATCGGGCTGCATTGTGGGGTGTGGTGAATATGGTGACAACGATGCCTTGTTGTGCAAACAATCTAGCAATGTCCATTAATGGGATCATGTGGCCGGAAGCCATTAGAGGAAAGAACACAAAGTGAAGCTGGTGGTCCTGATGAGAAGCCATGGAAATTAAGAGGAAGGGATGAACAACAATAATGTTCTATGAAATGAATTAAGCAGGCTTAAGTTTCTTATTGAAGTACTGCTATATATAAAAACTTTGATGCTATACCAGTCAATTGTTCTTTGTTGGAGACGTAACGTAAGAGCATACGTATACATATATATTAGTTTATCCAAAGAAGATTACAGTGACTCAGAGTAGAAAATGTTGTTTATGGATGAAGAGGTTTAGGAAATAGTTGGTTTTAGTGTTTAGGACAATAGCTTGACTATGACTAGAAAACTTTTAAAAGAATAACAAAGTAATTTTATTTGAATGGAGAAGAAAAGGTACAAAGCTTAGATATA